CCACTCTTCCCTTCCCCCGCCTTAGATTCTTCTAATCTAAGAATTAGAAGGGGAAGGGCTATGGTGAGCAAATGCAATGAATTTTCTTACCCACTTCAATGCAGCTCTTCTTGGCTCTGTGCTTGCCTGGGGGTACTGCAACCACTTAACTGATTTCTGGAGTACTTGCTAAGGTATTTTGGTCTATATATTGTTGTTAAGTTGGTGTCTCTGTGGGGAATGAGGTTCTGAGGCTTCTTATTCCACCACCTTGCTGACATCACTCCAAATTATCCATAACTCTTGCTGTCCAAAATGATATAACATTAGGTATGCTGAATTGAATAAGATTATTCCTTCCTGTGCTACAATGCAATTGCTATAATTACTGTTTCAATTCACTTTCAGCAGATTAAGTTCATACTGCTAGTTGTGACCATTTGACACTGTGGGCTCCTGAAGGGCAAGGGTCATCTTTTTGTTATCCCCTATTATCAAGGACAGTATCTCATACACAGTGATAAGTATCATGTAAATGCTGCTTAATGGATGTTCTAGTTTGAGTTATGAATACTTGTCTAGAGAACAAAGGTCACTCTTGGTGTTCAGGGCTTTTCTCTTTTTCAAAGCCATTCATGATCTGTAAGCAAGCCATCCAGATTCTGCTTGCTTAAGGAGCTAATACCAGGATCCAATATAACAATATTTTCTCATTTTTAAAAAAGTCAGTCCATATTTGATTCAGTTTTCTACAGTTTTAACCTAATGTGCTCTTTGTGTTTCATTTACATTTAGTCATCATGTCTTCTGAGGCCCTTCTTAGGTTAGAAAGTTTCTCAAAATTTCCTTGTTTTTTAATGACCTTGATAGTTCTGAAGAGTATTGTTTAGGTATTTTGTAGAATGCCCCTCAGCTGGGATTTTTCTGATGTTTTTCTCATGGTTAGACTGGGGTTATGTGTTTTGGACAGGAAAACTACAGAAGTAATGGGCCATTCTCATCACATTATATTAAGCGTACATAAGACATTAATAAACAGAAACCTCCATTAAATAGAGTTGGGAGACCAGAACAGGGAGCTCCCATACCCTGCGATGATAGTAGAGGCCAATGGGAAGACGACGACTCCTCTTCTGTCCTGGCAAGGACTCAGCCAATGAAAAGCCATGGACTCTTTGCTTACGATTCCCCCCACAAACTTCCTTTTCCCTATAAAAGTGTTCCCCTGCCCTTGCTGTTCAGGGATTCGCACGTGGCTCGCCACGGTTGCAGACCTTGAATTATAATTCTCTGCTGATTCTGAATAAACTCATCTTTGCTGGAGAAATAACTGGCAGTCTACTTGTTTTCAGTCAACAAGTACATCCTATTAACATGACTTATCACTGTTCACACTGACCTCAATCATCTGGCTGAGGCGAAGTGTTTGCTTTCTCTAGTGTAGAGTTAACTCTTTTTCCCCTTCTTTCCATCTTGTGCTCTTCGGAAGGAAGTCACTACGCACAGGACATTATCTTCCTGAAGACACTTAGTTTGTTATCTTGTAAAGTGTTCCACATTCTAGTTCACTTACTCTTTTTTGGTGTCATTTAATTTGTTCCTTCATCCCTGTATTTCTTGTGAAGTGAGAAGTTTGGTTAAAATCTCAGTTACAGGATTTATGCTATGCACATCCCACCAGATGGCTTGTGATGTCATACTTACCCATATTAGCAATCACTTGGTTAGGATGGTAACAGTAGAACTCTTCATTGTAAAAGGACATTTTTTCCTTTGCAATTAGCAAGAAATCTTTGGCATCTTGTACTCTGCCCAGGGACGTTTGTGCCATGAGAAACACTATACAAAGGTGATGGCCCCAGAGCTCCCCAACCTTTTGCTCACTTCAGTAGTCATTCATCCACCTTTTCATTCGACGAACACCTACTGAAGGCCTATCAAGTTCTGGGCGGTGTTTAGCTTTAGCTGCTGGGGCTACAGAGAGGAAAGATGGGCTCTGTCCTCCAGCAGCATGGCCTAGTACTAGAGAAAGGCAATCAAGAGTTTCAGTAGTGTGACCCGTCTACGCTGGTGACAAGGACAAGGTGCTTTCTTCGGTGATTTTCATTATAATTGTTCACCATACTTTGTTCATATTTTAAAGATTTAAAATAGCAAATGTTGAAACAGAGAGAGTTTTGGACTTAAACTTCATTTAACTAGCTCCATTAATCCCTAAAACATTCTAGTTAGTTCTAATTGCCTCCATAGAGGGACTTGTCCAGTTACCATAAAAACAGAAAAATCTCTGGAGGGTGGCATGGCTCAGAGGAATGAATGTGGACTTCAGAGCCCAGAGAGATTGAAACCAAATCTCCATCTCCCATTTAGTGGTCATATTACTAGCTTTGTGACCTGGCACAAAAAATTTTTTTGGAAGTATAGTAGATGTACAATATTACATAAGTCACAGGTATACAATATAGAGATTTGTAATTTTTAAAGGTTGTGCCCCATTTCTGGCACAATTTCTTAACTCCTCTGTGCCATGGATTCCTATAGATAAGCTAGAGAAAATACCTACCTCCAAGGATTTCTAAGAGAATTAAGCAAAATAACATATGAAGTGTTTAGCAGAGTTTTCAAGTTCCTGGCATATAATAAATATTTAATAAACAATGTTCCTCTTGAGAAACAATGAAAACTAAAACTATGCACATAAGACAATCAATTACCCTGATCTGGGCATTTTTCCATTAGCAATACAACTATCACATGAATAAAACCAAAATGAAATATAATTATATATATTATTATATAAAATAATATATATTAATAATCTATAACATTAGCATAGGTGGAAGCTAATTCATACTTTTCATTAGAGTAAAAGAAGCTAAGTCTTGGACAAAAGTTTGCAAATCCCCACCCATCCCTCTGCCCTGTGGGCCCGCCACACATGCCCCCTTTACGTGCCTACAGTATGGGGTGTGGGGTGGCGGTGTGGGAGTCCATGGGACCAGTAACATATCTGACATGGGTTAAGTTTTAAAGGCATAAAGATGGTACCACAGAAACCTTAGAGGCAGGAATCCTTAGGAAGAGGGTATGTGCTCTATGCACAGAACATACGTCACCTTTCTGCTCAGCCAGTGCCCACAGTTCCTTAGCTGCTGCCCAAGACAGTGTCATGGGATATTCCACGAGGACGTGCTTGCCAGCGTTTAGGAACTGTCTTTGGGAAAAAGGGATAAATACAGAGAAAATGCACTTCAATTAAACTTCACTTAAGTGCCCTGCACGACAGAGAACAGAATGTTATAAATGCACAAAAGTCTCCATGTAAATGTGTCATGACACGGGTGAGAGTCAGGGCCAGAGGGGGAGGCGGATGAACTGCATCTCACGTGATTTTCTACTAAGCGGTAAGAGAAAGGCTTTCTAGTCACGTGTTCATCTGAACACTCACCCATTCGTCTACTCACGTATTCAACCAGCTACTATGTACCAGTTACTCTGGAGGAGAAATACAGCCATGTTAGCAGGGAAATTGCCTATTACCACATGACAGCTACAAATAAAAACCCATGGCAGCCAGCTGTGCCTGAGGCAATCGGAAAAGATTTCACTAAGGCTCTGAACTGGGTCTTGAAGTACCAACAGGCATTTTCCAGGTGCCAGGGGATGAGGATGTTTCACTCTTGAGCAGCATATGCAGGGACTTGGGTGTTTACGGGGCATTGTCCACTGGGACGTGGTGTGAATTTCAGCATGGCAGGGGAGTGGGCTACAGGGAGTGGAAGGAAAACTGGGTCCTACGAGTGGCTGGGAGCCTGATGTAAAGGATGCAGAGTGCTGTGCTCAGAAGTCTGGCTTTTATTCTCTAGATATTCTCGGAAACAAACATTGATAAGCATGGGAATTACATGATCACTTTGTTAAGGACATGCCCTCTGGTGCCACAGAAGTTTAAGGGGAACCACAGAAAGGTGTTTTTGTCCACACTCAGGGTGGGCCTGATAAACAGGGGGCAGCTGACTCTGGGGAACGGCATGGTGGAGGCAGCTGTAGTTTGATGTAAGGACCCAGAAGGGAAGCTGAGATTCTGGGGGCGGCTGGCCCTGCCTTGTCAACTGCCAGGTCCTGAGTGGGGCTTCTCCTTCCAGGCTCAGTCCTACCAAATGCTTGGAGGGCTCTAGGCTCTGCATTCAAAGGTGGGGCGGGGGAACACTTCACTTCTCCTGCTCTACGAATAATGCGATCTCCCCACTCTGATGCCACCACTATCTCCTTACTCATCTCGTGGCAAAAACTCTTCCTATTAAAGCAACTCCTAGAGACCTTCTCAGAGATTTCGTATTGTTGAAAGGGCAAAGGATAAAATGTTGGAAACTGAAAGGACTATGGCAATTCTCCAAGGCACAGAAAAGATGGTGGCTAAGTTAAACCACCAGAAAACGGCAGGCACTGTTCATACCACACTCAGTAAGTTTTTTACGAAGAAATAAGATACTTTAATTGTTAATGTTTCCAGTGTTTTAAGTTATGGTGTACTAAATAAATATTCTACAATATTTTTCATGTCCTTATACATTTATAACCCAGAGTGAGAGTTCACATTCTGACAATTTTTAAAGGTCGTGGATCCAATGCAGTTCTTCCCATCAATAATTAAGACCCCTTTGCTAGATGTCAGCCTGCCCAGGCATTTTTATTGTCCCGCACTACTGTGCAACGCAAGGACTTGAACACCCACCTGATGTAGTCCTCGTGGCTGGAGCTCTCACTGCAGATATAAGCAACCTCAACCTCTTGACTGGAAAGAGCACCTTCCAAAGAAATCTGCTGCAGCCCATCAGTGCTCCCCAGCTCTCGTCTATTTGAGAGGAACAGACAGGTGGAGCTCAGAGTCGGCAGAACATCGGCTGAGAACACATGAGCGCCATCCTTCTCCCCATCCCCCAACAATGTCCTGGTGACCGACTTTTGGAAATGAAGCAATGAACTTCCTGCCTCCCACTTCCGGGGCATTTTTCAGCACACAGCGAGAAACGCGGCCTCTGGGGTGAAGTCGGGGACCTGGCGCCAAGTGCCGACACCACCGCTAACAGCCCATATGACGTGGGAGTCTTTGCATTACTTCATCTCTAAGATAAAAAGAACTGATCTCGGGCTTCCCTGGTGGCGCAGTGGTTGAGAGTCCGCCTGCCGATGCAGGGGACGCGGGTTCGTGCCGCGGTCCGGGAGGATCCCACATGCCGCGGAGCGGCTGGGCCCATGAGACGTGGCCGCTGAGCCTGCGCGTCCGGAGCCTGTGCTCCGCGACGGGAGAGGCCACAACAGTGAGAGGCCCGCGTAAAAAAAAAAAAAAAAAAAAAGAACTGATCTCCTGTAATCTCATGAGACACGATCTCCACGGTCACTGCCAACTTCAAGCACTTGGCCAAACACCAGGACTGCATAACCTAATCCAAATCCAAGATACTTAACACCTTTAAGGGGCAAACGGCCGTGTGATTTCAGGCTCCTTCATGGCCTGTGATGGTCAAGTGGAAGGTGGGTGTCACTGCCTCATTTACAGCCGAGCTGACAAAGCCCCAAGAGGCAGGGGCTCCACGGCTAACCAGCAGCAGAGGCATACTCCGTAGGGAGTATGTGGGGAGCAGACTAAAGTCCTCCTCTTTAGTCCGTTCAGTCAGCTAGAGGGAGGAAGACACGTACACACCTATAACAACAACGCGAGAATA